ACCCCCGTCCCGGCCTTTCTCTCGCTCTCGCTTGGCTCCCTCCTGCCCGCTCCCCTCGGCCGGACCCATCCTCCCCGGCCGCGCGCCGACCCTGGCCGGCCCCGCCGCCTATCCCCTCGATCCCCATCCGCCCCCGCGCCCCGCCGCCACCCCCCGTCCCCGCCCGAGGTCGCCCTGAGGAATTCCCCGGCTGTTTGGGGGAGGGACCGGAGTGCTCGATGCCTCCCAGATGAAGTGCCCCAGCCAGATCCAACGCCCTTCCTCTCGGATTCGACCCTCCAGAGGGGAGACGGCGGCGCCGCGGGATTGTTGGGGTGCCTTCTCCGAAGTTCCGAATCCGTCCCCTCCCACTGCCCGCTTGGGCTTCCCGGTGTCCAGACCTACTGACCGCTGATGTGTGGCCACCAGGGCCCGGGAGATGCTTGGCTGGTACCCAGCGATGCTCAGAAGCTTCCTGGGCCCCAGAAAAAGTTGGGAATTAGTCGAATGTGGTGAGGCGAAGAAAGGGTCTGTGTTGCCCAGGGCGAGTCGTGAGGCCGAGAGAGAAGGCAACTAGTTTTTCTTCTTTCTGGCGGGCAGGACTCAAAAAGGGGAAGAAGTTGGTACTGAGCAAGCCTTTAGGAGTTACCTATGTAATTAGATGCATTCTTATGGCATCAGGTATATATCTCTTACTTCTGGTCAACATAAGCATAAATTCTGAAAAGGGTGGGAAGAAGAATTGAAGCATATTTAGGTAATATTAAATGCCACAGTGGTGTTCTGCTTTGCTTTACTTCTCTGGTGTCTGAGTGTTTTAACTTCATCCACAGCATACAGAGAATGTGATAGAGCAGTATCCGAATGGCTCTGGGCTATGGAGAGACAAGAGGGGAGGCAGGTAGCATAGGTAGGGAGAGATGGGAACTCAAGAATAAGCAAGAGATTTTTTTACGGCCTGAACGATCACAGCAATGATAGGAAACTAAAGGGTAGAGCATCCTTATCTTTTCCCCAACAGCTAATGGAGCTTGATAATTGTATTCGAGTGTGTATATGGCATTTGGCATCATAAGCGAAGAGAATATACTCAGTGAGATAGGAAAGCCTGGATTCAGGAAGAAATTAGGCATTTAATATGAGAAAAATGAGAACCAGTTGCTCTGGTAATGAAGTGTAGGATTGTGTCGAGAGGATGCTTCTGGCTTGGCTTTAAGGCACTAGCTTCTGTCCACCCAGGCCTACAGCTTCTCTTACTCTTAAAGACCAACCCATCAGATTTTTTTCAATAGTTTTGGATTTTGTTGTGACAACTCTTGTCTTTGGGAGTATGCAGGGAGAGAGGTCACTGCCCTGTCACTTTTGCTGTCCTTGCCCCGAGCAGAATGGAGCAGGTGTCTGTCCATTCACTCTTGCTCTCCGCCCAGGGCTTGGAAACATGCAGACTGGTGGCATTTCGTCCTGCAGAACTCCTCAGTGGCAGGGGTGTGTTTGGCTATCCACCTTTTCCTTTTGCTGTCCACAGATTAACCGTGCTGATAAGGAGGCAACGTCATAGGAGCTGCTAAGATGGGCATGAGGATCAAACTGCAAAGCACCAACCACCCCAACAACCTGCTGAAGGAACTCAACAAGTGCCGGCTCTCCGAGACCATGTGTGATGTCACCATCGTAGTGGGGAGCCGCTCCTTCCCAGCCCACAAAGCCGTGCTGGCCTGCGCAGCTGGCTACTTCCAGAACCTCTTCCTGAACACTGGGCTTGATGCTGCCAGGACCTATGTGGTAGACTTCATCACTCCCGCCAACTTTGAGAAGATTCTGAGCTTTGTCTACACATCAGAGCTCTTCACGGACCTGATCAACGTTGGGGTCATTTACGAGGTAGCTGAGCGATTGGGTATGGAGGATCTCCTTCGGGCCTGTCACTCCACCTTTCCTGACCTGGAGAGCACTGCTGTGGCCAAGCCCCTGACCAGCACCAGTGAGAGCCACTCCAGTACCCTGAGTTGTAGCTCAGCAGAACCAGCCCATCCCCTTGGAGAACTCAGGGGTGGGGGGGAGCACTTTGGTCCTGATCGAAACTATGCGTTGCCTAGTGATGCTGGAGGAAACTATAAAGAGGAAGAGAGAAACGTTACCAGTGACACTAACCATAGCCTGCCTCTGCCGCAGCAGCCACTGCCGCCAAAGACAGAAGACCATGATGCCCCTGCTCCATTCACGTCCGTTCCCAGTGTGGTGACCCAGCCAGTCCTAGGCACTGTCAGCATGGGCGTCCAAACCAGCACAAGGTCCTGCCAGCCATACAAAGTCCAGAGCAATGGAGACTTCAGTAAAAACAGTTTCTTCACCCCTGACAATGCAATAGACATCACCACTGGGACCAACTCCTGTCTGAGCAATAGCGACCACTCCAAAGACCCGAGCTTTGGGCAGATGGATGAGCTCCAGCTGGAGGACCTGGGGGATGATGACTTGCAGTTTGAAGACCCCACCGAGGAGATAGGCACAGCTGAGGAGGTGATTGAGTTGAGTGATGACAGTGAGGACGAGCTGACTTTTGGAGAGAGTGACAACAGAGAGAATAAGGCCATGCCCTGCCAGGTATGCAAGAAAGTTCTAGAGCCCAACATTCAACTGATCCGACAGCATGCTCGGGACCATGTGGACCTGCTGACCGGCAACTGCAAGGTCTGTGAGACCCACTTCCAGGACCGAAACTCGCGGGTGACCCATGTTCTGTCCCACATTGGTATTTTCCTCTTCTCCTGCGACATGTGTGAAACTAAGTTCTTTACCCAGTGGCAGCTGACTCTCCACCGACGGGATGGAATATTTGAGAACAACATCATCGTCCACCCCAATGACCCCCTGCCTGGGAAGCTGGCTCTCTTTTCAGGGGCAGCCTCCGCAGAGCTGCAGTGTGCTGCCTGCGGGAAGGCATTGGCCAAAGATTTCCACGTGGTCCGGGGCCACATCCTTGACCATCTAAACCTGAAGGGCCAAGCCTGCAGCGTCTGTGACCAGCGCCACCTCAATCTCTGCAGCCTCATGTGGCACACACTCTCCCATCTCGGTATCTCAGTCTTCTCCTGCTCTGTCTGTGCGAACAGCTTTGTGGACTGGCCTCTCCTGGAGAAGCACATGGCTGTGCACCAAAGCCTGGAAGACACCCTCTTCCACTGCCACTTGTGCAGCCAGAGCTTCAAGTCGGAGGCTGCCTATCGCTACCACGTCAGCCAGCACAAATGCAACAGTGGCCTTGATGCACGGCCTGGTTTTGGGCTACAGCACCCAGCTCTGCAGAAGCGGAAGCTGCCAGCTGAGGAGTTCCTGAATGAGGAGCTGGTGCTGCAGGGCCAACCCGGGAATAGCAAGTATAGCTGCAAGGTGTGTGGCAAAAGGTTTGCCCACACGAGTGAGTTCAACTACCACCGGCGGATCCACACGGGCGAGAAGCCGTACCAGTGTAAGGTGTGCCACAAGTTCTTCCGAGGCCGCTCGACCATCAAGTGCCACCTGAAGACACACTCGGGGGCCCTCATGTATCGCTGCACGGTCTGTGGCCACTACAGCTCCACCCTTAACCTCATGAGCAAGCACGTCGGCGTGCACAAAGGCAGCCTCCCGCCTGACTTCACTATTGAGCAGACCTTCATGTACATTATCCATTCCAAAGAGGCCGAAAAGAACCTGGACAGCTGACTGGGTCCCAGCAGAGCCAGGGGGAGCTCCCCGGTAGCAGCCAGGACGTTGGTTTTCTAATGGCTGTTGGTCCCTCCCCAGCTGAAGTTACAGTTTTGCCTTGCTAGGAGTTCTGTTCTGTCCTGTGTTGAAAGAAGAAAGAAGAAATAGCACATGAACACGGTTACTGTTTTTGAGAACAACGGCCCTATATCATGTTTACCTCCTTACCTGTCCTTGCCCATGGAGGGCTGTGTTTTTGATTCTTTTGAGGCTGGTTTTGGGATCTCGTCAGGCAGTTGGTGTCAACTAGATCCCCTTCCCCAGCCGCTCGAGTTTTAGTTTACTGATAGGTTTTATGCTGCTAAGAATCCAACCAACAGCCTCACTGAACAGAGGAGGTGGAGAGAGGTTTTCACCGTGGGTATTAACTGCCAGACCTCCAACCGGGACAACCAGCTATGAGAGAGATTTTGGGAATGTGGTCATTCAGAAAAGACTGGTCAGCAGGGCAGCTCACCTCAGGTGCCAGTCCCAGCCCTCAGCAGGGGAAAGGTGTCAGGGATGGAGGGTCCTGCTTGTTCCATGGCTCTAATCTGCTGATTGGACAGTAAAATCTCTTGGCAGCTAGATCCAAACTGGGGACAAAGCATTCTGTTTAGGTCAGAAGGCTTTGGGATGAATCCTTGCCAGCCAGAAGAGGTGTCCTGCAGTGCTGCCGGAAGTGGCAGCCTGGATGGACAGGAAGGGAGGTTTCTCTTTTCTCCTCAGTTCCAAAGAAACACAATTTTATGGAGTGATGGCCCAGGACGTCAGGCCTTCCCTGTGGGCAGAAAGGACAGGGAGCCGCTTTGATGTAATCCTCTGTCATCTGGCCACGTCCATCGACCTTGGGTTTCCTGGTGGAGAGGTGGGGATGTCTCTGAAGCAGCAGCCTTGCCTTAATTTACATCCAGTCTCCCACCTAGAAGTGTGTTTGGCCTATAGCGTAGATGAGAAGACCCCATGAGGTGGAGTGGTGGACTGTGAGCCCTTCAGGATTAAAGGGACCCGAGTAACTGGTGGTTTGTAGCGGGATGTGTGTCTGTCTGTCCCAGTCAGGTAACCTGTTGTTAATATTTTGTGCTAACTGGGCCAGAGCTTTGGCAGCTCACCTTTGACCTGCTGGAATTTATCCTGATCTGTCATTGTGTAGCCACCAGGGGGCGCTATTGACCAGCAGCTGGTTCAGGCCCTCCCTAGGTGACTCGGGAATGGGTCTGCCCAGTCCTGGGGTGCTGGTTGGCTCCATTCTTAGTTGCCTTTTTGAGGGGTTTTACCCAAAGAAGGCTTGAGGGAGAGGCCCCTCGGATCTCGTATCTCACAAGGTGGCACCTCAGTAACCCATACTACCTCACCTGCTCAGGCGAGCTCTGGGGGTCCCTGGCCTCGGCCCTGACACAGCCCCTCGTGGGACTCAGCAGCACCCCAGGCTGTTTTACAAGCAAGTGGTTTTAATTAGCTCACAAGGCCTTTTTGGACATTAATATTTATTTATTTTTGTTTTTGTATACATATTACCCAGCATCTCTTGGATAAGAGACTTCAGGAAAATGAGCTTCTCCCCAGCAAGTAGCCATATTCCAGGGGACAATCCTGGCCAGATATTTGGGAAACGGGCTAAAACTAGGGGAGAACAGGTCAAGCCTTTAAACAAGCAAATTCTTTTCTTTCTCTCCAGATAGTCTCTTGCAGAATAGACCCAGGGAACCATTTAGGTAATGGATGTACATTCTAGAAAGTTGAGGCTTGTTAAATCCCTAGGCCTTCCATCCCCTTTCCGTCCTGTGATTGAGTAGGTTGGGCACTGGGTTGAGGGGATCAAGTCACATGAAGGACCTTTTTGCATATTTTCTCATCCTTCCTAAAGTTGGGAAGCTATAATAAGACATACAAGTAAACCAAAGCTCCGTCCCTGTTGGACCGCCCTAAACTGATAAAGCCTCCGAGTTTGTGTGCATGGCTATCTGGTGGGGTGACCATTACATGAAGGGACTTGTCAAGTGGCCACCTTTCACCATCTGAATCCAACTAGTTAAATGTTCCCTTGGGACATTCTTGTCAGAAAGCAGTGCTGACACTTTTCTTCCCTGACTGACTGCTCCCTTTCTTCCCACGCTGACCATTAGACGATTAAGAAGGAAGGTGTGTAAAAGACTACAGTCACCTACCTGCTAAGCTTTTCAAGCCTGAGTGGTTTCTCCCAGGTTGTTGGTGAGGACTGAGTTTTGAAGGGCCGTATTTGAGAGTGGGGATACTCACTGGGACCCAGCCAGGTAGCTGAGAATGGGTCAGTATGCTGGAGAAACCCTCTTCCTTAACAGAGGATATCATGGTTGCTGGGTAGTCTGTATACTTAACCTGAAACTGTGAAGTTTTCCCTTTTCGCCAGTAAACCAAAAAGCAAATCCTTGAAACTTTGCCCCTGAAACACTAAACAAGAAACTGCACCCCCTGATCCTCCTGAGGCAAAGTGGTCAGCCAGGGTGGCCCGGCTGGTTGCAGTCAGACATGTAGCAGGTCAAATAGCTCGTGAGGCTCATTGACCAAACCCTGTTCCCCTGCGTGTCCCCCATGTTCGCACCTCAACCCTTCCTCTGTTTGGAGTCATGTTTGCTGCCTCTGCCACCAGCTCACCCTTTTCTGCACTGTTTTACTTGAAACACTATATTGTGGCAAAGGGTGCTCTAGGATACCTGGTGGAAGGTATTAATTGTATTTTGAATTTAAAATTTTTTCAACTGTTCTTTGGATTTTGTTGCCCTCTCTGCCCTGGAGCCCAGTTTAGCACTGTCTCCTGCTGTATTGTTCCAAAGTTCTGTTTGATCCTTGAATGTCTTTTCTTCTCCCTTTTCCCCCTTTTTCTTGTTCTGTACTCAGGACCAGGTACATAATTTACAGAGCCCTTTGTTTAAAAATTATTAAGAATTTCAAGATGGCGACTAAGCATTAAAGCAAACACGAGGCCATTCCCAACTCTTTTCCTAAGGGAAAACGGTGATACTCTAATGGCACACTGTAAACAGCTGCTGTGGCCAGAGGAAAGGATCAGTATCCTGGTGCTCCTCTGGCCCATCCACGGCTCACTGATGCCACAGCACCTGCTGGGAAGCTCTGCTGTACCCTGGTATTTGGTCCTAAATTTTAAGACTCCGTGGAGTCACTCTAGTTCATGGCTAGTTGGGAAGAAAGGAGGTGGAGGTGGGGGGTCAGGAAATGGATAAAAATTCTTTCTGACTTTCTTCTGCTCTGTCAAGTACCCTTTTGTCTCTAGGATAACCTTTGAGCTTAAATACCTTCTCCCCAGTCAGGTTTTGCTGCTGGTGGATTTTCTTCCTCTTCTGGCCACCTGCTGTGCCCTAGTCCCCAGACTACTCAACTTAGGAAGTGAATTTAAATTCCTTCATAGATGGGCATGATTTTGGTGGCATGGAAGTGGGCTGTGTGGAGAAATCTGCCCATCTGGGAGTCCACACGTGTCCTTTTCCCTAAATCCTGCACTGAATGAATCAGGAAGCAGGGCACACAGCGTTGATTTCAACGTGATAACTCATGGTAAACTTAACATCAGAATGAAAAGGAAACTTTTACCTTGGATGTTTCTTTAACACCCTTCCCCTGTCCAGTCCACCCTCCCCTCCCACCTCTACTAGCTAAATCTCTTTTGAAACCAAGAAAAATTGTTGACGTCTTAACTCCTTCCATTAAATTAATAAGTACTGACCTCCTAATATTTAAGTGTTTACTATCTATTGCTGTAAAGTTTTGTATATTTTGTAAACTTTTTTCCCCAAATAGTAGATGTCTAAAATCGTTGTACATCTGATTCTTTTATATTCCATTGTTGGGCACAAAGTGTGGTTTTTATTTAGAATAAAAAAAGGAAATTTGAAATGGGAATTCTTTTCTTATTTACTGTGATCATGCTCATCCCTCAGGGTTCAGAGTATCTGGGCCATCACCCTTTCAGTAGCAGTATTCTGCTCAGCAGGTGCCAGCATTCTTTCAGGTGCACAATTTCCTTTCCTGTAGCTGGAATTCCCCGGACTTGATCTGTTTTTAGTGGAAAATTACCTCAATGGCCCACCCTGTTCAGAGGGACCATCTCTGAGGGGAATCTTCTCTTGGCCCAGAGAGAGCAATGGGACTCTGCTAATGTCTGGTTGGACCAGAGATTTGGCCACATATTGTCACCAGTGCCACTTAATTCATCATGACGTGATATGTCAGAGTGGAGAGAGGCAGATTCAGAGAAGGGGGCGGAGGTTTGGCTTAATTTCATGAGGTTGGTAACAAATGTCCCCCCACAGAGAAGAGACAGGCCTCTCTAGAAGTTAGGGTGCGATGTGGTCCGTTTGGTCTCAGAGCACACTGCTTGGGCCCAGGCCCCCATCAGTGCTCTGCAAGTGTAGAGCAGAGGGCCTTGCTGCTGTCAGCACATGAGTTCTCCTCTCAGGCCCTAAGGAATTATTGGTGCTGCCAGGGTGGTCACTGGTTGCCAAAATGGAGTCCATGAGAAGAGAAGATGTTGGGAAAGTGGCCTCAGGTAATCTGGGGTGTGACAGAGATGTAAAACTGGGTTTCCTTGAGACAACTTCTGGACCCTGAGTCAGAGGGGTCAGTGATAAGGGCATTGGATCTGGGCTGGGTTTTTATGTGGGCACAAGTGAGGAAAGTCTTTCTAATACATTCTGTGCATTGTTAGGTTCAGCCCTTACTGCAGCGCCAAGTCACAACCCAAACTCCCCTGGCTGAAAAAGGTTTCAGGTCTGTGCCACCAAGCAGCTGTTTGAAGCGTTAAGACTCTTAAAAAAAAAAGAAAAGAAAAGGCCCTTTTTCAGGTTTGGGCCCAATGAGCAGGGGAGTTAGACACAGATTTCCCTCTGTGCTCCTGACAAACGGGTTCATACACCGCTGGAGCACATGTTTAATGCATCTGGTGAATACAGTCTCAGATTTCTAAGTGCAGAGGAGATGGTGCTCTAGGTCAGCGACTGGTTATTCCAAGTTAAACATTCCTGACATACTGAGCACTTGAGCAGGACAGAAGGTCTCAGTGACTGTGTCCACAAACCTTTCGTTCTCTACAGGCAGGATGGAGAGGCGGAGGGCTCGGCACTGGTGGGCTGGGGTCAGCCAGAGGGCTTCATGGACGTGGTCCTAGTTTCCCAAACTGATAAATGAGCCCTTGCCAGAAGACCTCCGTGTTAACAAGAGGACTTCTTTTCCTGTCTATAGGACAAGTGTTAATAGAAGTTGCTGGACAGGAAAATTATGAGACAACTTGGCCAGGAAGAAAGAAGTCTGAGGGTGAGACCTGACTTAGGAGAACATCAGAACTCTGCCCTGTGACAGAATTGGAAGATTTCCACTTCCCCACCCCGTGCAGGGGCAAAGGCTGAGGGACAGAGCACTTGTCAGTGCCTGCTGCTGCCTGTCCCGAAGTCTGCTCCCAGAATGGATGTCTTGATATTTTCCTATGATCTGGAGAGAAAGGGAGGGACTGAGGGTAGAAGTCTGGAAACCTGCTAGACCCAGAGCTGGGGGAAGATGGGCTACGAGGAGCGTGGTCTCTGGGACAGCTCCTCTGCTTTGGGGGGAGGGGATCAGGATGGAGGAAGGGGAGAGTATCAGCAAGGAAATGGAGCCCTTTCCTGCATGGTGGGGGTGGAGAATCCTCGAGCAGGCCCAGCTGCAGGGTGCCTGTCTCAGACCTCAGCTTCACCCCGCCCTTGCTGTCCCCACCGCCCACACCCTCCATTTATCATCACACTGAGGATGCACTGCTAGGAAACAGCCTGCTGAGGCCTCCTGGCTCCTTGGCCTCTGGCCTCTTGTCCCTGTGGCCTACATGTGTGCTAGGAGATCAACAAGCACAAACACAAAAGGAAAGTTGTGTGGGGTTCCTGTGGAGCTCACTCTTTCCGGCCAGGGTGGTTTCTGAAACGGGTGCGTCTGGTTTCTGCTGAGCATCTCTTTAGCTTCAGCTCCCTTCCCAGTCCCAGCTTGCAGTGCAGACTTTTTCAGAGATCCAGTCATGTCTGTCTCTATTCTTTATTTCTCCTTTTCCCCTGCGTGTCTCCCTTCGGCACAGGGACCGTGTCAAATGGTACAACGCCAAGGACCTGTTCCTTCTCCCTCCCTGCTTCCCACCCCATCCCCCAACTTCAATATTTTAAGACATACTCAAAATTGGGCCATGAGGGCTCTGACCCTCTCCCCCTGCCCCCCCCCCCCCCCCCCCCCCCTCCCCCC